CTCTGGCTGCCCCGCCTGCAGCCACGCCCGTGGCTCTGGCTGCCCCACCTGCGGGCCCGGGTCCTGCCCGTCCTGCCCCCTGGCTTGCCCGTTCGGTCCCTTGCTGTGGCTCAGTGGCTGCCTGCGGGTCCTGCACCGTCGGGTCGGCGGTCACCTCCGGGCCCTTCCCCTCCTGCCTGCCTTCGCCCCTGTTCCCTCCTGCTCCCTCCGTCTCTCCCTCGTCCCTTACCCTCGGCCCCTGTGTGGTTCCCTCCTGCTCCCTTCTCCCTTCCGCCTGTGGCCCCTCCGGCCGCTGCCCGTCGCCCGTCTGAGTTCCTTTGGGCGCCCCTTATTCGTCCTCCCTTTGCCTTTCTCCCTCCTGTCTCTGCTCCTCCTCCTCCTCCTGTGGGTCCTGTGTTCACTCCTGGCCCTTTTGTTCAGTGTTCCTTCTGTGCCCCCGGTGTCTCCCTTCCTGGTCTGTCTGTCTGCCTTTCCTGTTCTTTGTCGGGTCCTGTCTTTCTTTTCGTCCTTGTTCCTGTTCTGTGTCTCTGTCTTGTTTCCGGTCCCCCGTTTTTGTCTTGGTTTTTGTCTTCCAGGTCCTGTTCCCCAGTCTCCTCTCGTCCGTCGCCTCCTCTCGGGCGCGCCCAGTGTGCGCGCCTTTGGGGGGGGTTATGTCACGCCCAGCTCCGTACGGTCCTCGTGTGTGCCACACCCCCCTCATTACCTCGTGTGAATCCCCGATTGTGATCACCTGTTGCCTGTTGTGTTCAACCTGTCTTGTGCATTTAGTCCGTGTCTCAGTTGGTTTCCCCAGATCCGTCATTGTAGTGTCCGTAGATGTCCGTCCCTGTCCGTCTTTCGCCTAATAAACCCTGTTTACCTGACTTCCTGGCTGCTCTCGCCTGCTTCCACGGCTCGCCTGCCGTCCGAACGTGACAAACTGGCTCCTGTGTACTGAGGTTTCTCTTATTCCCAGGTTCAGGGTTGATGGTGACAGGAGACACACCAGAGGACTATGATGATGTTGAGGGTATAGAGCAGAGCCCACATGTTTTACTAGGTGAGTTTCTCTTTATATCCATCTAATGGAGCAAAGTGTCTCTCTCATCATACTGCTCCTTTCATATGGTTTGATGACCTGTATGCTTCTCTTTACATATTCATAATCTTTTATTATTTATGAACAGTGACATTAATTTGACTGACATGGACTGACATTTGAATTACTTAATGTGTGTGTGCCTGCCTAACTATCTAATAAACATTATTTTTTGTTTCACATACAGCTATTCTCACTTCTATTAATTCCCAGTTACAGTTTGTCAATATGCTGTGCCCCTTACCCTGTCCCTGTAGGTGAGAGAGATTTGACCACACTGCCCCCGGGGGAGGCCCCCCCCTGAACCCGACCAGACTGACTATGATGATGTGGGGAGGAGGGACTGACAGTCCTGCCTGAGGAAGCTCCTGTCCAAAGGATCATGAAGTTGTTCTTCAAATGAGCTTCATGAAAGCAGCATCTACCACAATATCATTGCTATTTACATTTCATTGATTTTTTTAAGGTATAAGGTATTTATTTAAGAAAGTCAATTTAACGATATGCTGTTATATGTTAAACAGTTTATGTCACAACTTTGTGGCATTTTCTGCTTTTGTATTTTGAAATGTTTTCTTTCCTTAATAGTTTTCATTAGATTTTGAAATTAAAGTCATGAATTACAAATGTTAAATGGAAAATGTTTGCCTCACCCACAGCACTGTGGGAATTTTACAATAAAATGTTACAAAACTGCCCAGAATGATAAATATATTTCTTATTATTTAAAATTCATCCACCATCCCTCCATCTTTCTAACCGCTTGTCCAGTACAGGGTTGTGGTGCCTGGAGCCTTTCCCAGGAAACACTGGGCACAAGGCAAAGGACACCCAGGACAGGGCAGTCAGTCCATCACAGGACACACACTCTCACATACAATATATATCACAGGTCTGTGTAGGAAGCCCACATGAACATGGAGAGAACATGCAAACCTTACACAGATGGACCATGTAGAGACACTGTTTGTTTGTACTGCCACTGGCTCACAGGCTCACAGCACTGCTGCTCTTCAGTTCCCACCCTGTTCTGTTCAGTCTCTGAATTTGTATTGCCGCCATTGTTTTGGGATGGGAAATGGAAATACAGGACAAATCACATATTTTTCACAGACTGGGAGCCCCTACCATAGTCCACACGGCCAACTCCAGCACACATGACAAAAATGAGGTATCGATTTCACCAGTCATTGATGTTTTCATATTATGTCCAGTACATTTTATTAAAACAGGAAATTAATATTCTGTAAGTAAAAATGTAAAGGTAAATCTGCAAATGTTCCATGGTAAAATTTCATAATTGTTTAAAATACCTTTATACATTTGTGTTTCCTCCGAGAATATTTATAGGCCTGGTCATAGGAAGTATTATTTATACACTGCCTGGCAAAAAAAAGAAAGTCGCCATTTAAATTTATATCAGCAAATACTTAAGAGCCAATGACTGGATCATTATTACAGCTCAGCAATGATATGCAGCAATAAAGTAAAGTCAGCTGAGTACCTGAATCTACTGAATGACCTGGTTACACCTCCATCCATCATGAATGGATTTTTTTTCTTCCCTGTTGGCATGGGCATATTCCAGGACAAGAATGCCAAGATTCATTGGGTTTGAATTGTCAAAGAGTTGTTCAGGGAGCATGAAGAATCATTTTCACGCATGTTTTGGTTACCACAGACCTTAACCTCATTGAAGGTCTTTGGGATGTGCTGAAGGAGGTTTTATGGAGTGGTTCAACTCACTTGTCAATACAGGATCTCGGTGAGAAATTAATGCAAATCTGGATGAAAATAAAGGGTGAGATGTTGCATAAGCCTGTGGAAACAATGCCACGACAAATGTGCAGCATAATCAAAGCTAAAGGCGGTCCAACAAAAATTCAAATGGCAACGTTTTTTTTTTTATGGCCGGGCAGTGTATGAAAATTACTACATAATAAACACTTGAATTGCTTTTCCAAGTCAAGTCAAGTGAACTTCATTGTCGTGCCAACCATACAAAAGTATACAGTGGTACGAGACATTGTTTATCCAGGACCACGGTGCGACATAAGACACATGCTGGCTATATGTACACAATTACAGGTGGTAAAGTGCAGATTAAGTATACAAGTGCAAACATGGGGGTTGGACACGGACCACACATAGTGCACATGACACGACAGTAGGGTGAACACACAGTATATACATGAACAGGGTGAATGGAGTGGTGTATGTGGACTATCTGTACATAGATACTGGTACATAGATGTACATCTGTACATAGACGTGGGCAGTGGTGGCTTGATGGCTAAGGAAGCACACTTGTAACTGAAAGATTGCAGGTTCGAATCCCCAACCAGCAAGGTACCGCACCCAAGCACTGCTCCCCGGGTGCTGAATTAGCTGCCCCCTACTATGTCACAAAAGTCACATATGGGTTAAATGCAGAGGACACGTTTTGTTGTTGCGTGCTGTGGTGTGTTAACAATGACCACTGATCACTTAATTCTAATAGCAATACTGAATATAAACTTTTGGTACATAATATACAGCATGTACAATAATTCAGCGGCAGGTGACGTAGCAGCGGGTAACAAAGTACAAACATGCCAGTAAAAAAGGATTAAAGTGGCTGGTGAAGTGAAGAGTTGGTGCTGCTCGCTTAGTGAGGAACTGAGGAAGAGTTCAGGAGTCTAACAGCTTGTGGGATGAAGCTGATAGAAAGTCTGATTGAGCTCATCTGGATGCTGCGGTATCTCTTGCCAGACGGGAGGCGGGTGAACAGTCCATGCTGTAGATGGGAGGGGGCTTTCACAATGCTGAGGGCCTTGCGGATGCATTGCTTGTGAAAGATGTCCTGGATGGAGGGGAGAGAGGTCACTGTCCCCTGCAGGGATTTGCGGTCAGGGACTTTGTAGTTCATAAACCAGGTAGTGATACAACTGCTCAGGACGCTCTCAGTGGTTCCCCTGTTGAATGTGGTGAGGATGGGGGTGGGAGGCTCGTCTTTATCAGCCGCCGAAAGAAATGCAGTGGCTGCTGTGCTTTCTTGGTCAGAGAAGTGGTGTTGAAGGTTCAGGTGAGATCATCCGTCAGGTGAACACCAAGAAATTTGGTGATCCTGATGGTCTCCACCTCTGAGCCATTGATGTATAATAGGGAGTGGACATGTAATCATGTAATAAATCATAGTGAAATTTGTTGCATGGAGTTGGAAGGGCCAGGGTATGGAGACACCCTCATGAGTCTATGAGTCAATCAGCCTGTATGTCAACCAGAGCATGTGAGCGGAGCGGAGCGGTGAGAATTTCTGCTCCTCGTTCACGAGGCTGTTGGCTCCGCCCGCTCCTCTGCTCTAATTCGCACTAAGCTGCTCCGCTCAACACCGCTCCTCGCTCCACTAAAATTTCCTCCCGCTCCAGTCAAATCGCTCCACGCTCGCTCCAATTTAAAAGAGGGACAAATAATCTGCATGCCTAACAAATGTCACCTTAAACCGAAGCCGTATATCATAAAGAAATATGAGCAACGGCAACATTGCCAGTCAGAACAGATATTTATTTTTAAGCAACATATAGGCAACAACGGACAGGTCTGGCAATGGCATTCCACACAAAAATAGGTTTAAAAATAAAGGAATCAGTGGGCTTAATAGCCTAAAGAATATACAAGCTAAGCATCCACGTTTTAAATTCCTCAATTTTTTTCTGTTGATGCTGCTGCTGCGTTTCTCTATAAAATAATATTTCACTGACAGCGTTACGTGAAATTAAAAAAATTCTATTAGACCTACTTTGAATGACAAAACGAATTTATTTGATTACCAATATTTACTTTATAGGCTTTTATACTTTAATTTACTTTATAGACTTGATATACTACAACCATGTAAAACTTGCTCACGTTTTGCTCTTGCTTCCGTCTGTTCACGTAGCACACTCTCATGTTTCTGAGAAAAATGATTCCAAAGTGAATCTTTACTCACTGAAACAGTTTCACCAGATTGTTGTTCTTGCTCTACATTATTGTCATCGACACGTTTGATAAGAATAGTTCACATGATTTATCAGTTTAATACTTGCCGAATTCCATCTCGTTCCAATTTGTGTAACAGTCTTGATAATTGTACAGATGAATTCTGGGTAGATTTGGGCACGCCTCAGAATTGTAGTGTGAACGTTATCGGAGCAAAATTGGAGCGAGACAGAGCGACCGCTCCAGGCTTAATTAATAAACCGCTCCGCACTCTGACCAAATTCCGCCTATTCCGCTCCTCGCTCAAGCTCCACTCCGCTCACATGCTCTGGTGTCAACACTGCTGGCTGGGGGTGGTGGTGTGATGGTGTCGGGCACATTCATGGCACACATTGGGCTCCGTGCAGCATGGCTTGAATGCTATACAGTATCTGAACACCAATCAGGTGCCTGCTTCATGGCATCATGAATGTTAGATACAAAACAGCAATAATAGTCAGCCAGTCCCAGGAAGGCCAGAATCTGGTTTTTAGTGACAGGGAAAGGGCTTCATGACCTCACTCTGCTTTTTCTGAGGCTGGTGTAGGCCGCTTCTGATCAAGAAGTGACTGAGATGCTTTGCCCAGCTCTCAGTACTTTAGGTAGGCTGCCGCATATTCATGATGTGGCTGAAACACAATGTCTATCAGCCACCAGAAGGAAGGTAGCAGGTGCCCCATAGACCCCAAAGAGGAGAACATGGAATTGCCACTGACCACTGGGGGTGCTGAAGGCCATCTTCTTTGTGGCAGCCAGGCTGAGAGGTACCTAGGATTACCCGTTCATGAGGTCCAGGCTGGATTTAAGCAGGCCTTCCACTAGTTCATCCACCTCAGGCACTGGGTAGCTGTCAAACTGGGAAACCTCATTCATCTGGTAGAAGTTGCAAAACCAAATGGATCCATCCAGCTTGGGGACCATCACAATGGGACTGGACCAAAAGCTGCAGGATTCATCGATCATTCCCAGTCACCACATCTTCTCATTTCCTCCTTTTAGTGGGATTCCATAGGGCTTCTGCCAGAGGACATCCCAAGTCCAGAACTTAGTAATAAACAAGTGAGTCACAGGAACCTCCCTCAGTACCCTGGTTAAAGGGGATGTCCTGCATATCGACATTTGCATCCACATTCAGGAAGAAAGGAAACCAAGCTTTCAGTCTCCACCCTGGCCCTACTTGTGTGTAGAGTTTGCATGTTCTCCCTGTGTTGTTGTGGGGTTTCCCCCAAGTTTTCCATTTTCTCCGCACAGTGCAAAACATGCTAAGGTGAACTGGAGTTACCAAATTGCCCAAAGTTGTCCACATGTGCATGCACACCCCCCCTGTGATGGGTTGGCACCCTGTCTTGGATATAAAAAAAATGGATGGATAGAATATACAAAAGAGGGTCAGTTAGGAGACAGAAGTCCTTTCAAGGCAGTTATCCTCCAAGATTCCTGTATGCATCCACAACTGGTTTTCCCTTTTCATCCTCCAGCACCTTCACCCCAGTACAGGCTGCAGCAATGGAGAAGATAGTCCTGCCCCACAACTGGGGCTATTAGCGCCCATTGGCAGCTGGTGGCCCTCATTATGGTTGATCATCAGGAAACCACGACTCAAAGCAGAATTCTTTTTAATCTCAAGAGGTTCTTCTGATAAGAGGTTGAGTGCTGACTAACATCACTGCTGCTGACTGAAGAAAACGAAAACATGAGTCTTCTGATTTGTCACTGCACCTACTTGGGTTTTTTCAGAACTTCCTTTGATAGGGCATTTCTGTCTGTGATTGGTGGGTGGGGGCGTGTCCTCTCTGAGGGGCAGGATGATACAAAGAGACAAACTGAGATCTCAGAGGTGAAGGTCGGCGTCTCAGATTTGTTCTGAGGAGAGTTGGTTTGTCCTGATGAAGGTGGAGATTTGCGTGTTCATCACTCTAATCTCAGATCCTGCTCATCACAGCCAGTAAGTGCCATGCTCTACCTCCAATGGTCCTTTGACAGTTAAGGGTAAAATTCTTAAAAGATAATCACAAGTCAGATATGTCATACAGAGCATAGATTTAGTGAAGGTGTGATTAAATTAATGGAATAGTTTTCTGGTGTTTGCTGTTGGCTTTGAGTCAGATCAAATGTAAACATATAAAGATACAAATAACAATAAGCAGAAGTGGAGATGACACGAGACACAGGTCACAGTCCCAGGGCATGTGAGTGAATCCCCAAACAAAGGGACAGAAGAAATACACACACAAGAAAATCATACGTTTTACACCATATGTAGTAAAAGTTGAGTTATCTGTAACTTCAATAACAGGCAGATAAATGGAATTACAGTAACATTTCCTTGTGCCCTTTTGCTGTATGGAACAGGCTTCAGTCTCTTTATACGACCCTGTACCTGACAGGCAGGTAACAGATGGCTGGATGTATCTGATATAATTATTATGGCCACCTTAACAGATTACCACTGTTTAATATGATTGTTGTATTATTTACCAATTTTTACAGTTTCTGTTTGTTTATGGATGTGTGTCATATGTATTATACTTCTGAAGGTGTTATTTAGCTAAAACAATTGTCTCAATATCTCTGTAAGTCATAGGGCATGTAAATCCTGGTTTAGACCCAGATCCACACAAACACATGGAGAACAAGCAGCTTCTCTCCTGGCCGAGTAGAATGACCTTCAGAGACTCATGCTACACACACTGACATCCCCTGGCAAGAAATAGTATTGCATCTGGAAATCTGTGTATATAAGTGAATATACAGCTTAGTATACAGGAGCAAACAAATAGATAAAAAAATTGCCAGAATATTTAAATTTTGAGCTCTGAACTGCTGAAACTTCAGCTTTACTAACCAGCTTTGTAGAAACTACTGTATTTCTGTTTTTCTGATGCATTAACAGCAGATAAAAATAGACGCATGTGAATACAAACTTCCGTGGTTTCCTTCCGTAGCAGGTATGTAGCTGTGATCCGCTCAGAAACCACACGGGGGTCTTACACATGCAGTCAGGCTCTCAGGATGAGGGGAGACGCACTCAGTATGAAAAGAAGGAAGATGATGCAACTGATAGCCAGACCACAGAAAGACTGAACTCCATCACAACATCCGCCTGTGCTGCAATCTGCCTGCTACCTTTACTGTTCCACTGCTGCTATCTGGAATAAAATCAAAGGGATTTATTAGCGAGTGACACCCACACGCTGACAAGTTAGCGAGCAGCCTGCTCACTATTTTAAATTTATCATAACTGAAATCTGCAGCTGGATGGCAGCAAATGGATGTTTTCTTTTCCACTTCCCCATTTATCTGTGTCAGAAAGAGAAAAACATAAATACAGATCATGCATTTAAACTTATTAATGAATAAATGGGTAAACAGGAGAAAACTGTGCTAATTACTTTGTTCATATCACTGTGCATATCATGGGAATTTCAGTGACCTCTGAGTTTTACCATCTTCCTGATCCTCTTAATGTATCGTAACACTCAGGAATTTTCAGGACGCTTTCTGGTTATCAGCTTCATTTTGCTGAGAGCTGTGATGACAGAGTTATTGTTACATGGACACTGAAGGCTTTTCACTATGATTTAAATAAAACATGAAAATACATGGAATGTTTCAGTAATTTGTCTCATCGATTAAACAGCATTTATAATTATGCACACCTGAAATAGAAACACTGTCCACTTGTACTGGGTAAGTCTGCCTCTTGGTCCTGCTGTCTTCACTGCAGAAACTTATGGCTAAATAGGCCTACTGCATATTGCTGCCATGTGCTGGAGTTAATGGAGAACAGAACATAAAATAACTAAACATTATCTTCTCATCTTTTGGCGTCACTAGTTCATATGACCAGCAGGTTTTTGAACAAGTTTTTATTAACATATTTTACTTATAACAAACACAAAATAAATTATAAACAGCAAATAAATCAAAAACAGCAACGACCCCATCTCCCACCCTCCTCAGCCCACCCCAGGCAGCCCTGGAATCCCCGCACCCCAGACCAGCTCCCCCAAAGACATCACATAAGCAGACAGGCATGAAATATGAGTTACATCCAGAGAGAGAGATAACTAAGGCCAGTCCCTTGATTTATGTAAGAGATAAAGACCTGATATCAGCAGCAGCCTCGTCCCAAAACTCAAAATTTCAAGTGAACAGGAGAAGAACATTTAAACAGACTGTGCTTCTACATACTGAAGGCTTTTTAAAGAATGAAGTTATTTTAAACAATTTGTGATTCAGTTCATGGAAAGGGTAGTTAATTCCTTGAGCTCAGAGAAAACCTTAAAGGAAACTAAAGAATGAGGGAAGGTTACGTGAGGCTAATTCACATGGAATATAAACTGTTTCAACAGCACCCTCTCGTGGCCACATTCATTAACTGCAGACTACTCTGAGCAGATGTATTGTTTTTGTACCACCTTAGAAATCATAAGTGAACAAAACCGTACCATATTTCAATAATTCTCAAGCTTTGTGGTATCATTCCACTAAATGTGAATTAAAAAAATGTATTATGAATAAACCATTGATTCAGGATACAATGTGAATCTGTTTAAGGATACAAAACTTTTCCATCCATTGATGGACACTGATTTGCAGATCATTGAACTGCATTGTTATATACTCTGCCTCTCTCAAGCAGCCCACTTGAGCTGCAGATCTCCCAGGCAATGGCCCCCAAACACTACATTGGGATGCAGGACCATAGATGATTACAAATGGGAGGGAGCCATTCAGCCCATGTTTTCTCACTGATCTCGGTAAAGTTCGACCTGCTGCTGAGTTAACAGGCCAGCTGAAGCAGCTCACCTTCAGAATGATGCTGACAGGAGCCTCCTCAGATGGTGTGTTGTGCCTCAGGAAGAATCAACCCTGACTGATGATCCTGTTTGTCCTGCTTTTCTCCTCATGGGTGGACCTGAAGGAAAGACATGCAGTGACCAAAGCTCATGTATCATGTCTTTTGGTATCGTACAACTCTCTGTGTCCATTATTTATTAGTTTCACCTGTTTCTCGTTGTTCCTGCACCTCCCTTGATTAGTTGATTGATTATGAGTTCTAGTTAAGTCTTATTTAGTTATTTACCTCAGTGTTTCCCCATCTGTTTATGACCCCTTGTGGTCCTTTATTTTTATAGTATTGTTTTGTTAATAAATCCCATGTTTCTTGGAGCCATAAGTGGATCGTCGCCTTTTCCCATCTGCACCCTGCCACACCGTGACAGCTGTAGTGTGAGGATAGACTGCACTGCTGTGCCCTCGGCTGAGGTGGATGAGTGTTCACGACCTGGCGGCTGACAGGACGTCTCAGTCAGGGAAGAAGTGGGGTGGTGGTGTCTGCATCTTTCTCAATAAGCGGTGCTACATGAATATTAAAGTACACGACATTGTTTGTACTCCTGGCTAACTCCATCTGTACGCCCCTTCTACCTTCCGCGGGAATTCCCTACTGCAGTAATTATCTGTGTCTACATCCCACCAAGTGCCAACACCAAGGCGGCAGCGGAGATAGTGCCTGAGGATGCCAGCTCCACGATGGCAAAATATCCCGACGCCCCGGTGTTTACTGTGGGTGATTTTAACAACTGTAAACTCGATGTTGTTTTTTGCCATCTTTTTATCAGTATGTGGATATTCCCACTAGGAAGCTTAATACTCTGGACTTATGTTACAGTAACGTCTCTCACGCCTTCATCACGCGTGTACATCCTCCACTCGGCCACTCTGACCACAATGTTGTTTTCCTGCTACCTCACAACAAACTGGAACTGAAGTGCATCAAACCGCATGTGCATCACGCCACCCTCTGGTCGGAGGAGGCAATTACATGCCCACAGGATTCACTTGCATGTACAGATTGGGACATTTTCCAGGGTGATCTAAACCATAAAATTTCTGTAATTATGGACTACATCAAGCTTTGTATTCATTGCACTATTCCCACTAGAACGGTCAGTAGATATCCTAACTCCAAACCCTGGATCACTTCCCATATTAAGCACAGCTTGAAGGAAAAACAAAAAGCATTTCTATGTAAGGACTGGTCTTCTGTCAAGTCACTTAATAGACAAGTAAAGAATGAGATAATCAATGCCAAACTCAAATATAAGGATAGACTGGAGCAGGAGTTCAGTGCAATGAAGACCAAACAGGCCTTCCATAAAGTAAAGTTACTCACTGGTCAAATACTCGGCCATGACCTTCATCCCACTCTCATTCGTTGGGTCCATAATTTCCTCAGCAATAGACCACAGGCTATAAGGATAGGAACAATCAAATCAGCAACTGTGATTAACAACACTGGAGCCCCTCAAGGGTGTGTCCTTAGCCCCTTCCTCTTTACACTCTACACCAATGACTGCATTAGCCCCTCACCTATCACCACCTACTACAAGTATTCTGATGACACTGCTATACTGGGTCTGCTCAGTGACAGTAATTCAGTTATAGCCTATCAACATTCTATTTCACATATCATGCAATATCGGTCCAAGCAGAGACTACATGTTATTCACAAACATGCTATACATGTTATTCACAAACTTTGTGCCGTCTCTGTTGCCCCCCATCTTTTATTATTTTACAGGAGCATTATCCAACCCATCCTGTTGTACTGTTCTCCCTGTTTCTACAGCATGATCTCTTCATCTAATACAAACAGACGTACCAGGATCACACATAGTGCAGCCAAGATCATCCGCCTTCCCATTCCAAATCTATCTGACGAAAATCCCCTCGCAAGAACCATAACCAATGACTCTAGTCACCCTCTTAACACACAGTTTACTCTGCTGCCATCAGGTCACAGATACAGGACTCTGAAATGGAAACGGGCTCATTTTGCCACGAGTTTCGTTCCAACTGCCATAGCTGCACTTAACTTGCCACATTAATTTTGTACCCATCAAATCGCCGCTACTAATTGGATGTATATGGTGTGTGTATGTTTATGTGTGCTGTTTTATGTATTTGGGTCTAACGTTTAACATAGTAGAGGCCTGTAATGTGCTTGTGTTTCTATTGGAACAGACTGTGAAGACAATCATCCTTATAGGACAATAATGTCTGTCCGTCTGTCTGTCTGTCTGTCTATCTATCTGTTGTGTTCTACTACAACACAAAAACACAATAATATCTGAATCAAGGTGGCTGAACTTTACTGATTGCTTGCGACTAGCACCTGTAGGAATTATTAGCTCAGGTAAATTTTAATATCTCCACCAATATGTTTGAAATTAAAGTTTAATTACTTATTATTTAATGCTGATTATTAACCAATTGTTATGCCGAATGGTCGGCTCCTCCAAACTCAATTGCGGTATCCCTGCGAGTCTGTTAATGTGAGACTTAAATGGGATTCACTAATTACCAGTATCACTTAGTAACCTGGGTTAGAAGGCTCGTCCAGCGAGCTGCATCACCAGGTAATGTAAACGATTGGTAGCGAAGCTCCCCTCACGGCCGATGAGAGAGAGTCTCACGATATTTCAGGCGAGTTTGAGGTTTCAGAGCTTTAGCAAGATCGCACAGAGGCAGGGACTATTGTGAGCACTCAATGAACGGAGGCTGAAGTTGTGTAAAAGACATGCATTTATTCCTCACTAACACTACAACTAACATAAGACTGACATTACACTTAACACAAACAACAAACACGAAATAACGGAATGGTAACAAACAATGTAATTATGGAAATGCAATGACCAGATTTGAAGGAGTAACCTTAAAAGGAAATACTGTTCTGCAAAGCAAGCCCCGTTTGTGGAAACACGACCCTAAAGTCATATAGCAGGTTAACAGAACAGCTTAGGTTGTTAGAATGAAAGGAAGTTGGTTTACTTGGTTGCAGAGTGGGGGGGGGTGTTTTGTAGTTGGTTGCAGAGTCTGATGGGATGATGGCACTCAGGAAGGCGCGGCGTTTGGAGCAGTGGAGTGGAGCCCCTTGGATTCTCTCTCCTGGTGAAGCTTTGTCTTGGTTGCAGTTCTCTGTTCAGCTGGGCCTTCACCGGAGGGCTTCTTGTGGGCTTCTCTTCTCCATGGCTGATGTTCTCTGCCTCTCTTCGGGCTGACGGACTTTTCTCTGCTCCTTGATGATCTTTCTCCTCCTGATGATCTTTTCAGCCCCTTCGACTGATGGTCTTTCTTGCGCTGCTGATGGTCGTTCTGCGCCCCTTTGTTCTGAGGTGCCAGGGTTTTATGGTCTAAAGTTCAAGAATAGGGATGATCAGGAATTCGACTCCTGGCCCAATGGCTGGCCATCCATTTGGCGGGCTTTCAGGAAGAGGGTCTGTATCAGTCCTTTTGGGATTTA